ACAGATATGGGAGAGATATCTCCCAGACAACGCAAGTGATTCGAATCCACCAGAGTCCAGTGCGATACCAGGGGAGTTTCTTATCTATCACTAACTGGTGGACAAAAGCGTTGCTTACTATGCGCTATGACGAGATGTGAGCGACAGTTAACAGTAATCAAAGACGCTCGATTCTTGTATGCATTCCTGGCAGACTGGTCATCTGCTGATCTATACAGTAACACCGACAACAACCACCGGCAGGTTGGGAGTTCGAAAATCCGCAGGATTTTTATTCATATGTGAAGTTGGCCACAACATCCAAAGCGGAAAGTGGCCGAAAGGAAAAGACGCCTGCTTTGCAATCCAAAGATCGCCGGTACGAATCTGCGTAGCCGCGGGCGTACACCCAGACCACGAGCGATTCGTAGTGGTTACGTGCAGTGAAGCGTCAGTACGGTGTGCCGCAGCAATGCTTTCTTCCATATAGAAACTCAGGATGTGTGGTGTCAGTGGCTCACTGCACCGGTGGATCCGCGACTTTCTTCTTCGACCAAAATGGAGGGTACAGATCGACGACCGGTACCCCTCTACAAGTGGCGTGCCTCAAGGCAATGTGTTGGGGCCCATTCTGTTCCTGATCCACATCAAGGATCTACCTCAGCTTCTCCGGTCGCTGTGGGCCTTGTTTGAGGACGACATGAAGATTTGGAGAGAAATTGACGCGCCCGACGACTGTGGCCTACTGCAGCAAGACCTCAACCGACTATCCACATGGTCTGCAGAAGTTCTTCTCCCGGTCAACCCAGCCAAGTCTGTATTTATGAGCCTGGGGAAGGGTGCTGACGGCCGAACCTACACCCTTGACGGCCAACCGCTATATCCCACACCCTCCGTGAAGGACCTGGGTGTACTCTTGCGCTACGATTTGAAGTCCGTGGACAACACAAACAGGCTATATCGTAACGGACTGCGCATGCTTTGGGCGCTCAAACATAGCGTCGGCACATGGTCTGAAGAGGTTGCCACTCGCCTCTTTTCTTCCATCATTAGACCAATACTAGGGTATGGTTCGCCCGTCCACTTTCCGATTACCGGAAACGAGGCACAAAAGATCGAACGGGTCCAACACGTTGGTACCAAGCTCATCCCCAGTTTACCTGGCTTGTGGTATGAAGAACGGTGCGAGAAACTAGGACTCTACACCTTGTCCTACCGTCAGGTATGAGTCGACCTCATTATGACTTATCGTATTCTACATCTCGGTGACTTCCCAATGCTAAGGCCAATGCTGAACTTACGAGGGCCATGCAGCACACGTGGACACAGATACAAACTTGTCGTGCCGGATGTGAAACGTGTTCCCCACCTACTGTGCTTCGAACGGAGAGTGGTAAATATTTGGAACAGTTTACCTGAACATGTGATGGAGGCAACATCTGTGCAGCAGTTCAAAAAGTTGTTAGATTTATATTGTACCACTATTCGATTCAGAGAACGATTGCACACTTACGATGACATCACATTTGTGATTTCTGAAATATCGTAAGTCAGCTATTTTAAATGTTACATGAGAACGACATCGTTATTCACGGTTGACAACTTTTATAATGCTTTTCGCCATATTTCGAAAGAGTTGTAAAGTATGCATTTCTACTTGCTCTATGATACAGTATTCAGTAAATGAGCCAGCTGTAAGCCATAGCTGCTATAGAGTTAGGCCGAACAAAAGTGGTGTTGAAAGAAAGCACAGGAATAGTTAGAAACATACCATAACATGCGGGCCATGCAAGGTGTGCAAGCCAGTAAACTACCAAAATCGCAACCACAACACCCAGGAGGAATGCACGTTGGCAATAAGTGGGACGCGTAACAGCAAAGACTACTTGATTTGAGTAAGCTGCGGAGATTTAGAGGAATATGGTCGCATACATCAAGATCGGAATGTTGCACGGTTTGAAAATGATTTGCACCGACAGCACAATGAGGCAGAGAGAGGCGCTGCACGCAATACGCTAGATACCACGGATTTGGCTTGTTTTTCGCAGAACGGAGTGTAAACAAAACCAACCATAGATATGCGTCGCATTCCTGACGCAGTATCTGAGCCTAGGCCTTTGAGCCTGGCGTGTGCGTGCCCATTGGGTTGTCCGTAGGACAATGTCGAGATACTGAAAAGGTGGAAAAGCTATGGCGGAAGCGCTATCGGCCGGTTTGTGAGCGATCGTGAGCGTTTTGGAGATGCACGCGTCCTAGCATCTGCATAGGCTCACTGACAAACGGAATCAGGCACCAACCATCGAGACAATTTCCAAAGCATAGGTGTAATAGATGAGCATGTGTGAAGAAGTCATTAGCGCAACGTTTTACCTAGGGAAAGTGAAATGCGAAGGCCAAATGATGTTGTGTAACGAAGAAATTCGCACCTGCAAACCAATGTTACGAGAGTTAAACGTTAGCAAGTGTGTAAACGCGTGGTTCACTCAGAGTTAGGGGGCGCACCAGATCAAGTATGCAACCGAAACATGAAAGTATGTGACTAATTAGGAGGGTCAGTTCAAGTACACGCTGTGTGATTGGATTACGACGCGCAATCTTAAGGCAGACCATGATTCGCATTGGAGCGAGCCTTGGTTCATTCGATCGTTAGGACCGTAGCTGAAGTGTATGAAAATTGGGTATTAATCGCCCGAATACACTGCAGTTCACTACGCGTTTCGACCTTGTTTCCTCTTATAAGCAGGCTTCGAATCCGGGACCATTGGGATGTCAGTTGGGACCTCTACTCCTTTAGTCACTATGTCACGACGGGCGACGCTTGGCACAAGGGTGACTTTACTGCGTTTAAACCCATGAAATGCTGATTCTCTGCTACGCAGAGAAGTTACAGAGCTGCTCAGGTTGTGGTCGTCAAACGAACTCGTAACTTGCCGGTACCTCCAACGAAGGAAGCTCAACCGATGGCGGCCAACTCACATTGCATATACCAATTCGTGTGCAACTGCGGAGCCTGTTACATTGGCAGAACTAATCGATCTTTGAATTCTCAAATAAAGGAACAAATGCCAAGGTGGCTTCAGCGTGAAATTGACCAGCATCCCTGTCCCACCGATGTTACGTGCTTGCGCAGGTCACCAGATTCCTCAGTAAGTGAACACCTACCGATCACGCGCCACCGAATGGAGGTTGGATCAGCGTTCACACTTGTGTTACGTCACCCTAATCCCCACTTTCTCCGTTTCGCCGAGGCTGTCACGATAAGCCGGTCCTGTGTGATCAAAAGCAAGAACCGTATATTACCTGGTATGTCGATGAATTTTGGCTAGTTTTCCATGTATGTAGTAGGGAAGTCGGCTTATACCAAGGTTAGCGCAGCTTGAAAATTACGCATGCAAAATCCACTCAGAATTTCACTGCAGACCTATGCCCCTATCTTGCCTTAGCACCACTCGCTAGTGACAGACGGTATCCCAGATACTGTTTTCACGTTTCCACGGCTTTGGATGGTCGCACGAAATATGGGCACATTCCCTCTCAGCTCGATCGTGTGACAAAGCGTTAGGGTTATTTTGCTTAGCGAAGCACAGCGCTTATACATTATGCTATGCTAGTTAATCTAATGCAGTAAAAGTACAAAGTCGTCCCACACCACTGAGCGTGAACTTCTCTCACCCGCTGCTCCACTACGATTAAAATGCATGAGGCTCCTGACTATGCGAGGCGGTGTCTCACATACCCTTTCACCCTACCGGCTGTCTTACCTGTTTTGTGTGACTTGACGTCTGATCAATACACTGTCCAGTGCGGATAAGATCTTTGTTCTGACGGCTCTAAGCCCTATTAACTGCGATCAGAAAACCTTAGGTCATCAGAACTGACCAATAGTAGAGCAGCTTTCGCTTGAGCACACTCAAATGAGACAATCCTGCTTCTCGGTTTTTTTTGGGGTCGGCTAATATACGGACTTAGGATTTTGGACAAATTTGACGTGGCAAAGTCATACAGTCGTCTTACACAAGATAATATACCATATATGGTTGCATCCCGGGTATTGTTATTAATGTTACTGAGGAGACAATGCGAAATGTACGCATCCACCAACTTTCGTCTTCCTATCGCGCTTTTCAGATTTCTAAAGGGAACTAACTACTTTAAACAAAGAGTAATGACAAATCAAAGAGTCAATTCGAAGTACAGGTTGTGCAATTGGATGGCGACGCGCAATCTCTAGGAAGTATGTAATAACCGACGCAACGAGTGCGATCGTCCAGTAGGTTGACGGAAGACAACCTTTGAGAGTATCATCCTCATCAGGACCACCGTCGCCACCGCAGCACATCAGTGTACGCAGCAGTAGCGGCGATCTGCCATTATACTACGATGGATCAGTGTAGAAGCGATCTCAATGACTGATAGGAAGAATGGCCAAAGGTGAAGAGGCCCACTATAATTTGCAACACCGCGCAGTCACTAACGATTGGTTGTCGCGTGAAGATAAGGTGGAGAGGCGAGACAGCATCTTGGCAGTTCAGGTAGTCCATACTCGGTACACTAAGGCACTGAGTTAATTGAGAGTTCATCGCGGCAGCTTCCAAGTCCGATACTCTTCCAAATGTCCAGAAAAGCATTGGACGGTCGTTTCAAGCTGCTGGGTCTCACCAGTAGTGAGCACCATCCACATTCGAGCCCATGACCGCCACTGGATTGAACCGCCAGCCAGCAGTGTATGTCACTGGGCCACTGGGGACAGCGGCGAAAAACCGTAATTCACATGCTGGCTGCGACACAGTAGTTTAAATAGACATTCGGGTTAAAAAGTGATAGCAAATAAGCAACAGGCATCGAGTAGACAGATGAAAGCTAACTAAAGTAAAAGAAACTTTCCGGGAAAGCAGAGGGGTCAAAAAGCGGAGCTTGCAATGTGTGTAAAACACTAAAGTTGCGAGCACAGCGATTACAACGGAACGCAAAGTGTAGGCGTAATCGAAATAGTGCGCCAAAGACGGATGGGGTTTGCTTACCTGTTTAAGGCGTTGAACATCTCAATCAAAACCAGCACAGATAGGGCCATAGTCATTGGTTTCGGACTTGTGAAAATGGAACAAGGCACACCGGTGAAAGCTGCTCGTTCCACGTGGCATTGAAGGTGATGAGTCTGGAAATGGCGTAGAAACACATGATCGAGACGAGCAGTTGGAGTCGATTGCAAACATAACATTCGGACCAGTATTATAGAAAGATTTCGAGACATTACGCCAGACGCATGTGCAAGATAAACACGCTATCGAACAGGCATTGAACTCTCTGTCATGTGCTTCGCGTTCTCATAAAGGAAAGCAATACAGTAAAACTGGCCGATATGCTATTGTTGCTACCCAGTAAAGAAACAATCACCTGAAAAAGTCAAATCGTTACATGATTAAGCACGGTCCGCGTGGAATTCATGGTCCTACGCATCTCCGTAGACAGTGAGATCTCAGCCTGTCCATCATAGGTAGGGGGTAAAGTGGTACCGTCACCGATCGTACCGCATATAGCCATTGTGAATTAAACGCAGTAAAAAAAAGTTAGCCGACGTTCTAAGCCAATGCCTTCGAGGTATTGCTCGGATCTAGTAGGGAGGACGAGTCAATAATGGCGATAAATATCGGATGGAATTCAGAAGGTGCCGGCGCAGTACTGGACTGTTTGTTAAACTCGGGCCGTCTACATTGTCTGGGTCCTTTCCTCTTATTCTTTTCATTGTCGTCTATGGCTGAATCGAGTCGGTGGATGAAATCTGTCTAGACGAATGCTCGGAATCAGCTACATGAGTGGTTAGGAACGCTCTCGAACATAGCAGTCAGGAAACCACTGGGGTTTTCGCAACCGTTTCCTTACTTCTGATGTTGAATTTCTCTATCCGCAATATTTGTGTGAATCAAGCTGACTCTCTCCAACTTCTTCCCATATCTGACCTACTTATTTAAGTACAAATATTGGTACGACGGAACCGGCTGAATGGGAAAACCGAGACACCTCGAAAAATCACAATCATCATTCTAATATGTAACCAGCGATCCACTTTGTTACGCTACTGGATGCTGTCGTTATTGATTGCGGACGCCCACCGTTGTGCGCTCGAAAAACAGCTGTGCCTCCAAGCCTATCCTAGTAGCATCAGCAGCAAGCAGGTACGCAGTACCTGCCACACAACTACCACCAATCGCACGTGGGCTAACGATACTGTAAGGGTTGCCCAGGCTGGAACCCACACCATCGTAGTACAAAGCAGGCCTGTGAGCCTTAAGACTACGGGCCATCTAAGATCCCAGGTTGCAGGTTTATGATCGATAATGGATGCACGAAATTGCAACATCGTTTCATTAAGCATGTCTTATGACTTTTCAGTTGAGGATTATTACCCGAACAACAAATTGCGCTAGATAAGATTAATGCAACTCGCTTTGCCATGATAACAAGGGTAGTAAGTAACAACGACGATGCTGACGAAGGTAACAAGCAATGTGAGATAAAGAAGCGGGGAGAGAAAAGGCAGATAAGATTAAGCCGGATGGAAAGTGTGATGCCATCATAGAAACGAGAAGAAGTAAGCGGCTAGCTTGCCGCAAGCGAACAGAGCAGATGATTGGACGCCCGCGCAGATTCCTTATACACCGATTGGTTCATATGCGGCAGTGCTGGAGTGAGTTTGTTTGACTGATTCAAAGGAATACTACGCTACAAATTTCAAAGGGATAATCTCATGAATGCAGAAGTGTTGTTAGTTATAGAAGTGACTTAGTTATTTACATCGAGGCTGCTGTAAGTTAGTCATGCTGTCATTCGATTAACCTTGCTTTGTCGAATAAACCGTTAGTATGTGAAGGACCGGGTTTTGCGACATGGTGTCAGAGAAGACTCAGGCAAGATCATCGAACGGTGCTCAAATGTTGACTGGAGCGCAGCCAGCCTTACAAACACCTGCCCCGTTAAACATGAAAGAACACTTGTCCAGTGGAGAATCTGGAAAAGCAAGTGGACCGAGTACTGTGTACTGATGCGTCTGAACGAACAACCGATGGAGTATTATCTAGCGATGTTCAGACATACGATCGGAAATGAAGCACGTCGCGTCCTGGAAATGATGCAGTAAGAAAAGGACGAAGACTCAGCTGACCTGGAAAAAGTCATTCGAAAATTCAGCAATTTCTGCGACGGCCAGACTAACGAGAGGTATCAACATTCTTTTTTACTCGAAACAGGTGCCCGAACGAATCTATCGATAACTATGTTACGGAGTTGAAGATCCTGGCTCGTTCTTGTAAGTTTTGCAATTGTATGGCTGACAGTTTCATCCGAGATAGACTCGTGGTGGGGATTAGTGGTGAAAACATGAGGGTAGCTGTTGCGGCAAAAGCATCTACCATTCAGACAATGCCTTGATATACACTTCACTGAATCGTCGACTACACATGAGGTCCAGCAAATACGGTTGCCATCTGATGCGGAGCTGTGTGCTGTATCCAGCTTGACTGACAAAACTGCAAAGCCTGTTACCAAGACACAAGGAATTTGCAAATTCTGCGCGGCACGACACCAAAAGTATCGTGATAAATATCCGGCGTGGGATCGAATTTGCGCCAAATGTGGCAGACGAAATCAGTCTGCTCGGTGTTGTCAGTCTTCGAATGTGAATGCACTCTATCGTGACACAACACTCTCCGAGTCTGAACATGCAGTCCGTAACGTGTCGCAGACGTGGTCAATGAAGTGCGACTAGGCAAGTTTATTAGTTGGAGACGAAATAGTGCGCTTCCAGCTAGACACGGGTGCCACGATCAACATAATACCAGCGAATTGGTGCCCAGAAATTCGTGTGCAATCTGATCAAGGCTTGCGCATGTGGGACGGCTCCAAACGAAGGACAGTGGCACAATCGAAGTGATCAATCCTGAAGACGGCTCTTCACATCAGCTCACGCCGATTCTCAGCAGTGATTTCATCTAGTGTCTTGGCTATGTTCATGATCGTTTCATGCATGCGTGTCAAACGGAGACAGATGTTAGTGAGCAGTATCCGTCCCTGTTTAGCCCAGGTTTAGGGAGGTTCGGTTCCGCTCATTGGTCACTAGATCCGTTTGAAGGATCCTGTTTGCTTTACATGATAAGTTTGCCACCGAACTAAGTAACGCAGTTGGGCGTAATCGCTGAGGTCGACGAGCCGACAGAACGGATTAGTCAGGTCGCAATTGTTACGAAAAAGAACGGTGATTTGCGTTTGTACATAAATCCCAAGCCTTTGAATGAAGCTTTAGGTAGAAAACTCTATACACACTGCAAACGTTAGAAAATCTCCTGTTGCGTTTGGATAAGTCAAGCGGAGTCAAAACACAACAGACTCTATGCTTCTGGGTAGATACATTGTCAGCTATTTACATTATCACTGCGAATGGAGAAATATATGAAATTTAATAGATAAAAATAAGTTAAATGTGCAACGTTTGTGTATCACTATGGCAAACAACTGCGTATCATGCTGATGAGTTTCGAGTCCACAAGTACTCGTGACAGGTATGGTAGGATAGAATTGCGATGAGAAGCCGTAGGAGAAAATAAGTGTCTGAATTTAGAGCGTGTACAGGAAACAGATAGCGCTTCATGCAGTGGAGGAAAACGGTCGTTTAGAAAATTAAACGAAAACTATTACAAGCGTCTACATGCTCGATGACAATAAAATCAACAAGTACCTCTCTAGACAGTCCCCCGCATCTCGCAATGTTTTAACGAACATAAGAACAATATGTAATGTTTCTTTAGTAGCCCAGGAAAAATTACTGAAGAACAGTAAGGCCAGTGAGGCAGTATACATGCAATCACGAAGGTACAGATCAAATCACGTGTCGAAAGCATAAAAGGATAGCGTTTTAACCTTGTCAAATGTTTCAACGACATGGGTAGATGACCCAGGTAGGTTTTGGGATAAAAAAAATGCAAAGATATTTGTGAGTCAATGTCCTGGGTATGTGCTGATCACTCACTGTCAATGAGGAAGCAACAGCTTATCAGCCCAGAGAAAAAAGAATGCTACGGCATTTAGAAATGTTTAGAATGATAGACTGAGTTGATGACCACAGCACAAACTCATCCAGACCACTTTGAAGAGTAGATGTCTTAACGGTTGGAGATATACATTCAATAAAGTTGGACGGTATAGGGAGGTCTTCCATATGTAAAGAAAACAGTGTGGGAGAAAAAATCGCTTCTTGTAAAACATCATGATCAGAGCAAAGTGTTGAGGATTTTGTTCCGTTAAGCGGGATGAAGTGGGTAAGGTTTGGTCACGCTGCAGATACTTGTATGAACCCACTCGTGAGCAGCTGGTTCAGTAGAGTTGATCTATTGACGCTCACAAAAGCATCCGAATAATCGAGAAACATCGGACGCACTGCTCTACATCTTTCATCCAGTGCATATGCAACCGAATGTACAAAGAACGTGGAGCAGTTAGGTTTATAGACAAACCGGTATACATTGGCTGCCTGGATGCGGGTAAAGATCTGAGATAGAAGTAGTTTCTCAAAAACTTTCAACATCGATGTACATACAATCGGACGGTAGGTTTGAGATTCCTTCTTGGACACAGGCGTTATCCTTACAGGCCTCTAAATGTGTCACAGCGGTTAAATAGAACGGTTAAGGGTATTGCTTAATTAATCTTCAATTTTTTGAGTTCCCAAGTGATCAAGAATGACTGCGGAACCAGTGTTGGGGAAGAAGGGCAGGGAACGAAGCATCTTCGCCTATACACTGATTAATTCATATTTGGCAGCGTTGGATTAAGTTTGTTTGACAGGTTCAAATGAAGAATCTCATGATACGGAATAGTCGCTACTTATGGAAGTGACCTAGTTATGTACACCGAGGCTTCTACAAGCTAATCATGGTGTCATTTTTGCTGAGCTTTGCTCTAAAGGACCGGGTTTTGCGACAGAAAGTTAACGAGTGAATGTAAGGGATCTCGTGAGTGTGCTGGGTTCGAAGAGGTCTCCAGCTAATAACGCAGCACAGTTCAAGATCTCCACCCAGAAAAATGGTATGCACCAGCCGACTTCACCCTTTTTTCCATCATACCATCAATTACTCCGAGGGCTTTGTAAAACTATACGCAAACCGAAGAAGGCGATCAACGGGATTAGGGAAGACAACTTAGCCGACATAAGTGTGTATCGAGGTTAGCAGGTAATTTACTGTGGCATCAGAGGGTTTCTCACCAAACAATTGGTGGACTTTATTAATGCTTACTTGGCGCGCTTCCACGAGATGTGGGCAGTAATCGCAAGCCCCGGTGACCAATTCCTTAGTATCCTCAATGTGGAATAGTCATATGAAAAAGCACTACCGGTGTCAGGTGACACCAACGTGTCCACAACGATGATGAGGGGGTAACCGAGCACTAGGCGGGGATGGTTCAACTCCTTAGAGTTCACACCGATTAAGTTGCGTTGCCTTGGACACGTGATAGGTATGCTCGGTCATCGCTACGACTGTGCGAAAACTGCGACTTGGTAGCTGGAAGTGGGGTCGTTAAAGACTAAGATGGGTGTTATTTATTCATCTCGCCTTCCAGGTTGGGGTATACGCGACCCATCTTATGCATGGCGCCAGACGTTACAAGATGTGGCTCGCAGTGGACATTAGTGGCGTGTCTGCTGTCCTCTCCTAGCCAAACTGTCTGTTTAGTGTGTCTGGTGCTAAGTTATTTGCGAGTTAATGGTTGAAAATGACACGGCGCAGTGAAAACCGTAAGAAAGCTATCCCGCCGATGTCATCATATCTTCGCATGGTAGTCAGCTGTTTGTGGTCATGTGCTGTTGCAGTTTTCTGTCATGATTCCATTCGCATACTATTTGCATTCACAACGGCCAAAAGCTACCAAGCCGTCTACGCGCGTATGCTTGCGCAGACTACACGCATTGTTACACAACGTCACAAGGGCATACTCCCGGTCTAGTCGAAAGCACACATTGCGTAACAACTTGCTTGAACCTGTTAGGAGATCAGCTATTTGGCATACATTTTTCGTGAATGAGCTTAATAGCCATTCGTTATTCTTCCTATTTTCTACTTCTTGACTGTAGTTTAAACGCTCCACTGTGTTAGCCCGATTGGTACACACACGTCATTGTTAATGAACGCTCATCTCCGTGTCATCCTCAGCAGTGTCATGTGCAAGAACACATTCCATTGGTTTTACTCTGCATCACTTTTCTACTTGGTTATCTTACATAAATATTTAGTTGTCACACAAGTATTGTACTAGTTTTTAATTTTTAAGTCTGCACTTCTTATTCTCGTTTGTTTCGTGACATTTGTTTAAACGCTAGATCTCGTTATTCTGAGTGGTCAGTGTCCGTCACTGTAAATGGATGTTCGCTTTACGCTTGGGGTCATATGATGCTATGTTTAAGGACATATGCGATTTGCTCTTGATTACACGGTTGCTTATTCGCCCGTTGCATTCGACGTTTTCCTTCTGTCGGTTGGCTCAAGTGTAATTTAGTAGCTTCGCTTCATTTTGCCTTCCAACTTTATAAGCAAATGTGATTTCATGTATACAAATCTCTTGCCGGCTCGTCTTTGGACTTCTTGCGGTCGTGGCGTGAAGGCGTCAGTGGCGACACAACAGAAGCTGTAATGCAAAATATCTCTGAGACGCAAACAGGCGCAGCCGAACACTGCCCAAATCCGCTACGAAGAGACACGGCTAGAAGCACCAACAGTGCCATCATGGAGGATTTGCCGCTAAGCTGACATGCAAGTCAGATAGCAGATATGTTTAAAATTTTCTACTCTGTGCCACTACGTTATCCTAAAGCGCCCAGAGAAGATCTCTTGAAGACGGCTGAAGCAATCGCAATCAGACTGATCCGGTCTGAATTGTGCAAGCAGAAGGTTCTTGGCACCGAGACAACTCCTCAGTGAACTAAGTACTGATCCAATTAACTGGTCCTGTTCAAACGTCAGTGGATTGGCAGTATTGGACCCGGTTGTGGTGTGTCGTCCGATACTGTAGTAGAATGATGAAAATTATGGAGAAGGGATCGCTTCGCTAATTGGACTTAAGCATGGGTATAATCCGGGTATTGGCATGCAACTACATTATAGCTTGTCGTTGAGAGTCGTGGCAACTGGATCCACCGCTCTTCAGTGCCCAGATCATAGTGGTTCAACTGATCAGAACACAGGCGCAAGGGGTCCAGTTGGGACGAAACGAATTGTCATGGAAAATACAAGCCACAAGTGTGAGAGACTGGAGGAAAACAAGTAGATGAAAAAGTAGACAAGTTATAACTACCCGTCCATCTCGCCTGTACTGCCTCCAGGACACAGCTGATCGTTGCTGGAGGAGACCGGGTGCACGGTACTTGTAGCCGTGTTACGCTCAAGATGTGGGTCTAAGCAACCAGTGTGGAACGGACCACGGTCCAGCCACCGCCTTGTATGCGCTTGATTCTCAAATACAGAGTGCTTGTGTTTGTCTGTGAATGAGGGTGGGCCGGCTCCGTTGATGAAACGTGGCTCCCATTCACATACCTCCCGGTCTTATTCCTTTGGGTTTACACTGGATATGGGGTGTATGGATGGAACTGTGGGTGGTGCAGCGCAAGCCATCCATGGTCCCTCTGTAGACGCAGGCCTTCTGTGGTTGACCACGATGACAGACAAATCCGAAACCGGAAGCCGCCACATATATATAAACTTTATGCGTTCAACGACTGCCCAACGTTTGAATAGGACTCTAACGCGGGGACATAATTCAAAGAGATGGTGTGAATTGGATTGTACAAATTTGTTGAACAATTTATTCTTAACTGCTTGCTTGTCCACCTTGAAGTTTTGCCAAACAGGGTGCCTCGTCGACAGGCAGCAGCTATCACATGGTACGAGGTCGGTGAGATTTCAGAGAACGGGACTTAACCCACGCGGCAATTCAGTTCCTAATGCTGCGCCAAACGGCCTGGTGTGAATATGGTGTGAAATGTGAGGGCCCTAATCGACGGCGAGAGATCATAGACTTACCAGCTGATAGTAAGAGATTTTCGGTCCACCCGAATACCGCATAAACCACCATGCAGCCGATCCGACCGTTGCAACGCCGACATAACCGCCAATCGCCAGATAGCGTAAGAAAAGCCAACTGGAAATCAGTGGTTCTTTACTATTTCTTGGTGGTTTCTGCATGATATCCAAATCCGGGGGATTGAAACCGAGAGCAGTGGCCGGTAAGCCATCTGTTACCAGATTGACCCAAAGCAACTGTACGGGGATAAGAGCTTCTGGCATTCCGAGAGCAGCAGTGAGGAAAATGGACACCACTGAGAAAAGGTAAAGAACAGTAGGAGGTAAGATGGTACAGGGAGAATATACACACGGGGAGAAGGGAGCCAGAACAATTCCGTCTCGTACTCACCTTCTCCAATATTTGAAGAAATCAGGTATCGAATAAACTGCTTCATGTTGTTGTATATGGCACGTCCTTCTTCCACGGCGGCCACGATAGTGCTGAAATTGTCATCAGCTAGTACCATATCGGAGGCTGACTTAGCGACAGCGGTACCACTTCCCATAGCGATGCCAATTTCCGCTTTCTTCAAGGCAGGTGCGTCGTTGACTCCATCACCGGTCTAAATAAGTAACCCATACACAAGAGTTGCAAGGGTAAGATTCCGAAAAGCGCAGGACGAGGAGAAAATACAAATTAACTGCTCGTTAGGACGTTAGATAATAGCTTGAGTGAAACGCAAAATCATTCAATAGTGAATGGTGACAGAAAATGATGTCAAGGTGAATAGGATAGATGGTCGGAAACCAAGTGCTGGTAGGTTTTATTGTAGTTGGGTTACAAGCAAGTACAACTAAAACGGACAAAAACGGATTTGTTTCAAGGCAACCAAAGGGACTGGATGAAAGGAAGTCAGTAAGAAGAGGAACGATGAGCGGAGCGTGTCTAGCTCCTCAAGGACAATGATCTAACTCCAAATGTACGTGCACAGAGTAGGTAAAGGTAACTCGAAAGATGCTGTTCAGACGGGATGGCACAGAACACATTACATTTGTACAGATATTAAACTAGTAGTAATGCTGCGACGTGTCCCCGCGTTAAACGCAAGTTAGAACAACCAAGCGTGTGAATGAAACGGCGGTCATGGAGTCACTGAAACAAAGTGAAATAGTTTAAAATGGCGGAGTAGGAGGATTACGCATAGTTTTAATTCCTTATATATAGATACAGTCAGACGGCTATCATGCGGCAGAAAAATAGTCATGCTTGGCTTTACTCGGTCGTAAATCGTAAGCAGCACGATACTTCATCTGGGTACCGAATATTGGATGATAGGAGCAAGTAAAAATCTCATTCGTGCACCTACACCGGAATTGGATCAAAAAGAGTAAAAACGAAAACCATCTGTGACCTGTCAATACTCTGATCGGTTCTCCATTTCTCGAACGATATCGAAAAAAACGTATAACTAACAGTAAATTGAGAGTAATCGCTCACGAAATATAACACTGGAGGAATGCACATCTGGTAATTTTATTTGGACTGCTGCACAGGGTTTATTCAGGCAAACTGTTCCAAACATTGAGCACTCGCTGTTCAAAGCATAGGGGGATGGGGAACTCTTCTCAGCTGTAGCACCACAAGCTTGTAATGGTGCCCGTGTGTGATGCAAGGTGTTTGCAGCAAGTAGAGCGATAGCCTCACCATGTAGTAGTAGTCACTGAGATGTAGAACGAGGGTCATGATGAGGCCGACTCGCACCCGACGAAATGCCAGGGTGTACAGTCCAGTCTCGCGTATATTTCTTCGCACATTCAGCCCGTAAACTGGGGATAAGTCTGATAGAGAAGTGTTGGACCCGTTCACTGTTCTGCACCTAGCCTTGAGTGGTTGGTCAACAAGGTGTGCGAGCCATACTCTAGCGATGGAGAAAAGCCAAGTGGTGGTCTCTTCAGTTCGGATGCAGAAGCTGCGTTTGAGTGACCAACGCATTTGCAGTGAGTTTCGGTGTAGCCTGTTGGTTTTGTCCACGCGAGATTACGCTTAGGTCATTCACGGAAGGTGTGGGATGTAAAGGCTGACTACCAGTGGTGTAAGTTCGGCCGTCACTAACCTATGCCAGGATCATGAATATCGATTTTCGCAGACCATATGAACAGGTAGTTGGGATCTTGTTGATGCAGACCGCAGTTGTTGGATGTGCTAATCGTCTATCATATCTGCCAACAGGGCACACGGAGACCGAAGGAGCTGCATGGAGCTAGAACCCGTGATCCCATTCCTATGAGAAGCGGAGACGACGATGTGACTCAGCTACTAGATATCACAGAGCGCGGCTCAATCTCCACTAGTATGCATGCCACTGCCATTCAGGGGACAGGATAGCCACCGAACAACGGCTTCCTAAACTTAACCCGCGATGCAGTAGTCATAACCTTGGACTCATCAGAACGGAGTCACGGGTTCTATAGTCTAACACGATTCCTGAAAGAACGAAACAGTTGTCTAGTTCGCACCCACGTGTATGATGGCTGTATGAGTCTGATTCTAGATGGAACCAGAAAAGTGAAATATTGTCAAAACGAACAGTGACCGACAAAGCAGGTTCAATCCAATCAACAAGCTTCACTACATGGACAAGTCGACAAGACTGATGTTATAAATTCGTGATGGTTGATTACCTGTACACATGTGATGAGACCGAGAAGTAGAAACCAGATAGAAGTGAAGTATACACTTAAACAACAAAAGTGTGTGTGTGTGGGAAGGGGAACACATACCATTGCGGAGATTTCTCCGTCATCCTGTAGATATTGCACAATTTCACTCTTATGCGCCGGCTCTACACGAGCAAACAATTTCGCGTGTCTGACCGCCTCCCGCTTCTCCGGTACACTCAGCATGTCGAATTCGCGGCCAGTGAATGCCTTGCCTCTGGTGTCCTCTTTCTCACCGAACAGACCGATTCGGCGACAAATAGCCTCGGCCGTAGCTTTGTTGTCGCCTGTGATCACAATCACGCGGATTCCGGCATTGGTGCAATCTCGAATGCTGTCTGCCACTTCGCACCGCGGTGGATCCAGCATACCGACAACTCCAACAAGTGTGAGACCGGACTGCAGTAAAGGGAAATAAAAAGGCAAACGATGAGCGTCCGCCGTAAAGACGCTAAAGACTAGGATGGTGGAGAAAAAATCATGGAAGGCCAAACAAACCTTAAATAACGCAAATGTAAAATGCAATTCAGCAAGTAGAAAATCGAATTGCTTACCTCATAATCCTTGAAGGTCAGTGGATCCGACAACTGGAACTGTGACCGTGGTGGAGGATCATCTTTAGTGGCCAAAGCAAGGCAGCGTAAAGTTTCACGGCCAGTCGCATAGGTGGCTAACTTGCGCAAAGTTTCATCTTTTGATTCAGGTGTGAGCAACACTTTTCCGTTTTTGGTACGCACATGAGTGCAGCGATCCAGAATCGACTCCGGAGCGCCCTACATGTACAGGATAAGCAGAAGAATGAACTCGATAAGCGTGCAAACAATGTCACATGGTACCAAAAGGAGTTCGAAATTTGTGTGGCGCCCGGTAAAAGTGACACATGACAGTGCACGCATAGTGTGATAAAACACCAGTCGAACAAAAAGCGTACATGATCTGAGCAACTAAGCAGGGACTCGATAGGTGGCAACGATTGGTAGCTGCGCACACATCACTTGAAATGTGGAAGCTGCCACATTTCGGACAAAAAACCTCAATGAAGGAACGAGCCGTGAACGGCCAGGTGTGTTCAATCGGCATGCTCGAGTAGCAGCTGGCAGCAAAAGTGGATCAAGCGGACAAGGAACGGCATGAAAGAGCGCAGATAGGCATGAAGGTTGGCCTGAACTAGGCATGATGGTTTCCCGAGTGATGTATAAAACGCGCTACCGGTTTTTATAATTTGAACGACCGTAGGTGCCAGATGTATCGAAAAAACGCAATACGTGGAGTAAGAACACCAGTCTATATTAGCAATAAAGCGGAATACCTGTAGCTCGGGTTGTCTGTTCAGGTATAGGTTTGCTCTCCGAGCCGAAGTATTTCGGTTCGGAGAAAAAACCTAAACCTGACCAGTCTACGTGTTTGTTGATAAGCTAGTTCATAATATTAGCTAACCAAAGAGTTAGTTGCTATATCTGTTGGATCTAATGGACAGTGAGGGTACTGGCATAATTCTAGAATGGTCTAAAGCTCGGAGGAGTCAGTTGTTAATTTGGTGACGGAAAGTAGAGTTATTGAACGTGGTAAGTACTTGTGGTCCTATACACTACACGCTATGCCTGGTTCGGAACATTACAACACGAAGCTTGCAACCAGTGCGCACGATGCCAACTCCAGAGGGTGTCTGTTCAGTGAGTGTGGTGCTGAGTTAACCATATCCCGAAGTTGATTACGACGCGAAATAGCGAAGGACGCAGGGAAATCGTCATCTTGATAGACTCTAATCTTCGTATTGGTGGTGGTGACCGTGCGTTCCTGTAAGATGCACACAGCTTGGCGCCAAGCACATACAGGCTTATCGCTAGATCCCACTTTTTCCATGTTACTGTTTCTCATCAATGAGCGTTATTACGGCAGTATGGCGAAGAAGCATCAACCCATAACATTGATACCGTGGTGTTATTTTTGGGGCTGGCTCACCGAACAACCTCTTCGTGGTGCCAGCTGGGCGGTTCGGAAATTTCCCGTTCCGGCGAATGGTTGGGTGGTAGTGTTCCAGTGCGTGGTGGGTTTTCGCCTGGCAAGCGCTCTCTATGAAAAGCCACAAATGTTCGTTTAACAACACTGCGACCTGGCAGATGTGACTCGCTACTAAATAAAGTCACTGCCTGTTGTCTCCTTTGGAGACATTGTACACCGGCATGCAATTGGAGCATCGGATCTTGGTTCTGACTTCAGGAGTGTTGGGTCCGTGACATGGCTTATCGTCATCCGAAAGGCGTATAAGCTGAGTGTCCAGGGGTGCGAATCCCTCATCTCGCCCTGCTGCCTTGTGGGTTAGGCACTTTGACCAAAGGCTCGGGGCGGTGGTCCCCTCACACAACCACCTACCTCGGCCTAGGCAACCGGGTAGTATCTCGACTAGTGAGGAACCATGAAGTTACAACTACAACCATTCACACGCTCTATTGCTGCTACGATGCCATTCACATATGCTACTATGCCAACTTAACAAGCACACAACATCATTTTATCTATTCTTCCCTTGTACCATTCACACCCATTTTTACCTGATTCCTCTATGGCGATCAAGCCCACCTACACCGATGAACCTGTTCCCGTGACATGTGCTCAACAGAGAGCTGCCAGTCCCGAATTCGCCCATCTTCGCTCCTGCAACCAGGAACGCAGTTCAAACTTGCAGCCTTCAACGTACGCAAGTTACTGCAGACCGGTCAGCAAGCTGGACTCGCACGCACGCTAGAGACCCTTGGAATTGATATCTGGTGCCTGAGTGAAACGCGACTCCAGGACACTAACTCGGTCTACCAGCTGGCGTCGCCGCTCCACCCATACAACCGCTTCCATCTCCGCCTCCCTGGTGTTGGAATCGCCCTCAGCGCTAGAGCCGAAACTGTTCTGATTGATTGGATTCCGATCAATAGTCGCCTTTGTGCGATGAGGCTCCATGGCTCTTGTAAAGTTAGCAGACGTCACGATGAAAAGTGTGCTCTCTTCGTGATATCTGCCTACGCGCCCACTGACTGTAGCTCGGACACAATCAAAGACCAGTTCTACCAGAACCTTCATGAGCTGCTCCTAAAACAGACATCATTGTTTTGGCAGGTGACTTCAACGCGCGTGTCAGTCAGCTGCTGTCATGTGAGCGCCACCTCGGGGGGCACATAGATATGATGATGTTCGCTCAAACAACGGAGAAACTGCTCAGCCTTTGTGCTGATCATTAACTTTTCCTCTTCAGCACGAGCTATCGTCATTCTGGACGCCAGTAGGCCACTTCGCGCCCCCTTCATCATCAACCCAGCGCTGGTCACATACTGACCACGTAGCCATAAGTCGCAGGTGGCGCGGCAGCATAGGCGACTGTCGATCATTTTGGTCAACACCACGTAAGCGACGCAGAGGTCCGAGACCGAATAGTGCCAGTCTTTAAAAGGTTATCCTCCGACATCACATGCCTTGGCTCGGGTACGTTTTGCGCATGCCAGCCAATCGCCTTCCACGTCGAGCCCTATTTGCACTCCCAGGGAGCGATTGGAAAAAGTGCCGCAGTGGACAGCCAATGACGTTGAGAAGGAAAATGAAGAAGGCAACCTCAAGTTTGGCGGCAGTCGGGCCAGTCCGTCCTCCAGGTTTGGGACCACAAGATGCTGAATCTGGTGGGAAACATTGGATGTCATGGCCCGAAACAGACATCAGTAGCGTCAATGTTGTTCTGCCATTTTATCCCCCCTTTAATGCACACAAAAACTCACGAAACAAAAATCAAAAAAGCAAAATGGTGTGTGTAAAACTCAAAAAAATCGTTTCCAATTTTTATCCCATGTCGTGTTTCTACTTTTTCCATTTTTTCTTGCGTTATGATTCTGATGGCACAATATCTATTAACAGAATGTGAATATATATATATACATACATATATATATATATATATTGTTGAGGATGGCACTATCGCGTTAGTCCGAAGGGCTGCTTGAGATTGATCCAGTATGGTGATAACGACGTGGGAGGTCATCACAAGCAAAGTGGGATGTTATTGGTGCATTCACACCTAAGAAAAGATGGCGAACAAAATACTCACTGATGCTGGACACCATCTCCATAGCGCATTGTTGGAATGTATCTCGATCACCTTCACCAGACAAACGTAAAGAGCTATTATTGCTTGCACACGGGTTAATGGTATGTCAGTTGTTCCGTATTTGGCACGTTTAATGAAGGGTCAGAAGTTGAAACATGAAAATTCCATTTATAGAACCAAGTGAGAATATCAGAAGGATGCTGTGGTATTATTAATATTATCATTATCGTTACCACCTCGTGCATCCTCGTTGGTCGCGACTGGTGGTGGTCGCGCCGTTACGGCGTACAGCTGACACATAATAATGATAATCCTCATCGGTAAAGTACATGCAAAAAACAAAGGAACCAAAATAAGATCACAGGAAGACGATTAATAATCAACTGTTTTACGATTAGTGCGTTACTAGTTATTACGGCAAGCTTAGTGTCACTTTAACAGACAAATCACAGTCTGTCGGATTCCATCAAAGCATGCCACAAGTGCCGTCCCTAATTCCCGAACTTTTATCCAGACATTTACACGTTCCCTCGGCATATGCTCTATCGATTGTCTCTCAGCCTTCCCATCGTAACCTCGTTCCGGACAGATGTTCATTGCCTGAGTGAGTGTTAACTAGACTCATTCACCTAACCACCTGTGATCTAAGTGCATTGTTCACTGGCTGATCGATTGACGATTGATCACTTCGTTGTAAACCACTATGACATTGGAACCACTTCGCTTCAGTTTGCTTATCGGTTGACGGTTGCTGTTGCTTGGCCTGGCTTGACAGCATGTTGCACTTGCAACCCGAATTATCGTATACATTTTGGTCTGGATATTGTTTGAGGTTTGTTACTAAATTGTTGTCTAACCATTTGTAAATAGCACCGTAGCTCTTCCGGCTTTGACTTTTGGATTGACCCGGGTGCTAAGTGTTGCTCAAGTTCCAAGACCGATTTGTCGGTAACAGTCACTGTCAACCGTTTTTGAACACAGAGCGGTGGGGGCGCTGTCGATGCATAACATTGTGCTCGAGGAGCTTGTGAATGTGAGGCCTTTGGCTGGGTAGGGAGACTGTGAATGATTCATCCGTGCTTGGATTGAGAAATAATTCCCGGAGATGACATCAGAAACAGAAAGTAGCGAACAAGCTTGTTTTCAGGGCTTCATCATCAGGCTAATACAACCACAATAAAGCAAGCTAGAATAGACACAATGGGTTTAAATTGGGTCACTGAAGCAGAGTAACTAATCGATAAATCTACGTGTTTGGTCTGATTGAGGCGAGGTCAAGTGATGTGGCGTGACTGCCATTGTTAGTCGCGCTGATCTGAGGCCAAGGCAAGGTTAAAGTATGGACGAGTTTTTCTGTGCACATAGGTCCGGGTTATAGAGCCGAATTGCGATCGCCTCTGCTGTTGACAGCAGGCGACATCTGACTGCCCGTGTGTAACGTCCGGGGACACAGTAGATCGGTGTGAATGCGTCACGCGAATCGATTTGATGATCGGAGTCAATTAGGTGCGTCAATACTGCACTCGTTACATTCTTCCTCACGCCGCTGTAGAGCCAAGCTGGGCAATGCTCTCGAGCCCTAACGGACAGTCGCCTGGTCGTTTTCCCAATATACCTTGCTCGACACGAGCAAGAGAAATTGTACACACAGAAGGAGGTCTGCGACCGAGGTATCCTGTCCTTAAGTTG